GTCTCTCCCCGCATTAACCCCCGCAGTCACTCCCCTCATTGATCCTTCAGTTATTTTATTGATTTAATTCCCCCAGGATAATTGGCCGAGTTTTTGTTGATTGATTTTATTTTATTTGTTTATTTTGGGGGATTTTTGTTTTTACCTTTTTTTTTGTTTTTTCTTTAATCCCTCGATCCCGGGGCCGCCAGCTCCCACCGCTTGGGCCACACTTCCGGTGTCCGTCCCTTTCTCTTCCCCCATCTGCCCACTTCCGATGTCCGTCTCCTGTTTCCCTTCCCCCATCGGCCCACTTCCGGCGTCCGTCCGCTGTTTCCCTTCCCCCATCGGCCCACTTCCGGATTTCCCCTCGCTCCTCTTCCTCCCTCCCACTCACCTCGTTCTGATGTCCGCCTCCTTATTCTTTCCCACCGGTAGGTGACCGTTGCCCTTCGTCGGGAGGTTCGCATACGATTCTGGGAATCGAGTCGATCAAGGGAAGGGACCCCGCGGCTTATCGTTCCGAATGCGGGCCCTCTCTTCCCCTAATTCCCACCTCCACCGTCACCCTATGCCCGGGTCCGTCTCCCTTCTCCTTCCCCATTTCCAACCGACTTCCCGCGTCCGTCTCCCTTCTCCTTCCCCAGTTCGCACCCACTTCCGGTGTCCTTCAGAGACAACAAGGAGCAGAGCTGGATGAACACAGCAGGCTTAGCTGCACCATAGGAGCAGAAAGGCTAACGTTTCAGGCCTAGACCCTTCATCAGAAAAGGGGGAGGGGAAGGGGGTTCTGAAATAAATAGGGAGAGAGTGGGAGGCGGATAGAAGATGGATAGAGGAGAGGAAACAGACAGGTCGAAGAGGCGGGAATGGAGCCAGTAAAAGTGAGTGTAGGTGGGGAGTTAGGGAGGGGATAGGTCAGTCCAGGGAGGATGGACAGGTCAAGGGGGCGGGATGAGGTTAGTAGGTAGGAGATGGGGGTGCGGCTTGAGGTGGGAGGAGGGGATAGGTGGGAGGAAGAACAGGTTAGGGAGGCAGGGACGAGCTGGACTGGTTTTGGGATGCGGTAGGGGGAGGGGAGATTTTGAAGCTTGTGAAATCCACATTGATACCATTGGGCTGCAGGGTTCCCAAGCGGAATATGAGTTGCTGTTCCTGCAACCTTCGGGTGGCATCGTTGTGGCACTGCAGGAGGCCCAGGATGGACATGTCGTCTGAGGAATGGGAGGGGGAGTTGAAATGGTTCGCGACTGGGAGGTACAGTTGTTTAGTGCGAACCGAGCGTAGGTGTTCTGCAAAGCGGTCCCCCAGCCTCCGCTTGGTTACCCCGATGTAGAGGAGGCCACAACGGGTACAGCGGATGCAGTAAACCACATTAGCAGATGTGGAAAGTCTTCTTGGGACCTGGGATGGGGGTGAGGGGAGAGGTGTAGGGGCAGGTGTAGCACTTCCTGCGGTTGAAAAGTGCTGGGGCTGGAGGGGAGTGTGGAGCGGACAAGGGAGTCGCGGAGAGAGTTGTCCCTCCGGGAAGCAGATGAGGGTGGGGAGGGAAAAGATGTCTTTGGTGGTGGGGTTGGATTGCAGATTGCCGAAGGTGTTGGAGGATGATGCATTGGATCCGGAGGTTGGTGGGGTGGTACGTGAGGATGAGGGGGATTCTGTTTTGGTTGTTATTGCGCTTGGGAACCCTGCAGCCCAATGGTATCAATGTGGACTTCACAAGCTTCAAAATCTCCCCTCCCCCTACCACATCCCAAAACCAGTCCAGCTTGTCCCCGCCTCCCTAACCTGTCCTTCCTCCCACCTCAAGCCCCACCCCCATCTCCTACCTACAAACCTCATCCTGCCCCCTTGACCTGTCCGTTCTCCCTGGACTGACCTATCTCCTCCCTAACTCCCCACCTACACTCACCTTTACTGGCTCCATCCCCGCCTCTTTGACCGGTCTGTCTCCTCTCCACCTATTTTCTCCTCTATCCATCTTCTATCCGCCTCCCCCTCTCTCCCTATTTATTTCAGAACCCCCTTCCCCTCCCCCATTTCTGAAGAAGGGTCTCGGCCCGAAACATCAGCCTACCTGCTCCTTTGATGCTGCTTGGCCTGCTGTGTTCATCCAGCTGTACACCTTGTTATCTCAGATTCTCCAGCATCTGCAGTTCCTACTATCTCCGGTGTCCTTCTCCCTTCCCCTAACTGCGCCCACTTCCGGTGTCCTTTGTTCTCCTTCCCCTGGTCCCTATCATTGATGATGCCCCCCCCCC